AGACTAGACTATAGACTAAACTATAGACTAGACTATAGACTAGACTATAGACTAGACTATAGACTAGACTATAGACTAGACTATAGACTAGACTCTAGACTAGACTATAGACTAGACTATAGACTAGACTATAGACTAGACTATAGACTAGACTATAGACTAGACTATAGACTAGACTATAGACTAGACTATAGACTAGACTATAGACTAGACTATAGACTAGACTATAGACTAGAGTATAGACTAGACTATAGACTAGACTATAGACTAGACTATAGACTAGACTATAGACTAGACTATAGACTAGACTATAGACTAGACTATAGACTAGACTATAGACTAGACTATAGACTAGACTATAGACTAGACTATAGACTAGACTATAGACTAGACTATAGATATGTGTGAAAATTATTCTCACAGAGTATAATTTAGTTAAACTTTCATTTAAAATAACTGCCAACCAAAAAATAACAAAAGAAATTATTATAATTAACATTAATATTTATGTACATATAATACCACAAACAAGATTACACACACACACATACACTTAAATATAATATTAATGATATTGCAAATTAACCTTAAAACCCACATTCATACCGAAAACCACTAAAATATTTAATGTTTTATTAAAAATGGAAAAAATATATATTATAATTTTTAAATAAACCTCAAATATCTATAAATTTTTTAACTTATCTCTTTTAACGTTTTATTTGGTAATAAAATCTTCTTAACCAAGCAGTATTTTAGAATCCTTTAACAAAAGCATAGCAACAACACACGCATACACTCTCTAAATATGACTCCCCAATGTCCTTTTTATAACAAACATTAAAAAAAGAACTCTTTGAAATATTAAAAGTGAAAGAAAATAACAATATTGCAAAAATGTAAGGATACAAAGGAACACACACTCACTAAAAGGATGTTATCTTTTCCATGTGTATGTGTAAATGTGATTTTTTTGATTATGGCTTTGTATTGGTATGAGTTACGATTTTGTATGGCTAAAAGTAAAATAAACACTTTTTAACACCAATAACTGAAGTGGACCTAAATATAAGTAAGAAAAAGCTATTTTTTAAATTTTATTCTAGTTTTTCTACAGCTTTGTTCCTTAGATTCTTGTACACAGGACTCTAAATTTATATTTCTTATTCAAACAACAGAAAAGCAAACCAACCCAATACTCATCTATAGAAATTGCCAATAACTACAAAAACCAAGTGCGAAAAAAAAACTTTGGGCAAGAAAAGATTGCAAAATATTGGAGGGGAAGGTTTACGTTATGGAATCAACTAAAATTAGTTTAAATTTATTTAGTGATCTTTTCACAACCTCAACTTTATATTTACATCAGTCTTGTATCCATTTTAAATAAAAGTCAATCGTGGATCTTGTCATGATCCAAACTCTTTCTCGTACGACGATCATTTTATAGTGCAAGCTCACATCAATCCTGGATCTTGTTATGATTAAAATTTACATCACTATCTGGATCTTATCTCTTGTATCCGTTTTAAATGAAAGTCAACCGTGGATCTTATCATGATCCAAACTCTTTCTCGTACGACGATCATTTTATAGTGTAAACTCAAATCAATCCTGGATCTTGTCATGATTTAAACTTACATCACTATCTGGATCTTTACAAGAATGTTATCAATCTTGGATCTTTGTATGATCTATAATAACATCCATTTTGAATTAAAACCAATCTTCGATCTTGTTATGATCTTCTGTATTATCAATTCTTTATTATTTTCCTGGATCTAAATGAACACTGAATCATGTAATATTAACATAATTTTTGGCTCAATTCTGGATACTTTCATGATAAAAACTCTCAGCATTCCTAAATCGAAATCAATTGTTGATCTTGGTACAGAATCATCACGAGAATCTTGAACCCATATATAAAGGATCTTTATCTGTTTTCGATCTTTTAATCTATCAAACTTTGTATGAATCCTGATATTAATTAATGATCGATCTTTTTGCGATCGTAACTCTATATCAATTGGAGATCGTTTCTTAATCCTATTGTGAATCTATATTAATTTAAATTAATATTTAAATCAATCCTCAAGATCAAGGAATCTTGAACCCATATATCAAGGATCTTTATCTGTTTTCCATCTTTTAATCTATCAAACTTTGTATGAATCCTGATATTAATTAATGATCGATCTTTTTGCGATCGTAACTCTATATCAATTGGAGATCGTTTCTTAATCCTATTGTGAATCTATTTTAATTTAAATTAATATTTAAATCAATCCTCAAGATCAAGGATAAAGTCATGAACTTAATTCAAAACAATTCTGGATTTATCCCGGATCTAAAGAATGATTAACAATCTTAGTTAGATAAGAGTAGCTTTTATCAATCAGTATTTAAATCATAATAGCAACTCACATCAATCTCGGATCGTAGATCTAAATCAACCCTGGATCTTGTAATAATATACACTATTATGAATTGTGGATTCATCATTGAACCAAATAATCATGAAGCCTCTCATAACTCTCAGCATTCCAGATCGAAATCAATCATTGATCGTATTCCAATTCAAACTCTCATCAATTTTGCATTAAAATTAACAGAGGATCTATTCATGATTCAAAATCACATAATACTCGATAATTTCGTGATATTTGCATAATCCAAACAACATCACATCTACAGCTATCGGAAGTCTTTTCAAGATTCAAACTCTAATCAGAAGTGAAACTTTTCCTGATCCAAATGAACTTTTATCGTGGATCTATATGAATATTGGATATATTCCTAATCCATTCAATCCTTAATCTTTCCATGACCGAATTTTGAACATTTAGTATACTACTACTCTTTATACCTCAAAATGTTACTCCAATCGACGATGTTAGATTTTAAGTTTTAGTTTTAACGGTATTTTTAAGCCAACCTTCCTCAGCCCTATTCTAAACCACAGCAAAAAAATTCTTAGTAGTAGTCAATGCATTTTACAATAATACCATTTTCTGATAACTAACACATGCATATTGCAAATGTATGCACTGGCAAACATATAACCACACTTTTATGATTGTATGTGAAAATTGCAATAAAAAAATGTTTCCCCAAAATTTCATTCACACATACTATGTGTGTAACTAAACAATTGTACATTGTGCAACTGGACTCTGCTGTTCGGTGTGATTGTACCCACTCCGTAGTAGGAGTATTCTGCGGTATTGAAATAGATTTTTACTCCTATAAAGGTGGAACTCTTTGCAGACTAGAATCACACTTCACTTTAATTACCCACGATCAACTGACCCTGCAGTAGATCTAAGGTTCATTAAATATAGCAGTAACTTCTCATTAAATAAAGGACACTTAAGCAACTATTGAACCATTTTTCATTACTTAGGAACACTTAAGCAACGAATGCATTTCTCTCTTCAATATAAATAGAGTCCAATGATCAATACAAATCTTACTCTAATTCTTAGTTGTCCAAAAGAGATACTCCTTGCAAAACTGCTGGAAAGTAAAAACCTATTGTTATTATTGGTTCTGTTATAGTGCAGTGTAAGTAACTGTAGTGGGCATAAGAGAGAGAGTGAGTGAGTCAGTGAGTAAGTGAGTAAGCATCCTCTTATAACGGTTTTGGTTTGTTTGTCTGTAACCGGTACAGAAGTGAGTATGGATAGCAAACAATAAGAGTATTTGAATTGTTTGCCAGGGGGAACTTAAGTATTACTCTTGTAGTAGATTTATAAACAAACACACATTCACTTACACATAAAATAAACACTCATACACACAGTGTATGTATATATCTACATCAATTGATAGCTTTAGTAGTTGTATAAATGTTGTAGTTGTTTTATAGTTTGTAAGTATATTGTAAAACCTACTCAAATAACAGTTTAGTTTAAGAGTTTTCTCTCGATTTTATTTCTATTTTTCTGTGGTTTATACATACATACATTACATACATAAATCCTATCCTACAATTACAAATATTAAATGTTCACTTGTACATTTTTAAATTTTTAAAAATACTAGTGTGTCGACGAAAGAAACCAAGATGTTGGTTGATTTTAGCGAAAATGACATTTTGACTGACACAACTTAATTTTGGGTAAATTTTAGAATTTTTATTTACTTTGTGGTCTCTGTCTCAGAGTTTATATTTAAGTTAACATAAAGATGTTGGTTTTGAAGGATATTTTTAAGATAAAAGAAAAAAAGGGTTTATTTGCTATTGGTTGCACTAGATAAAATAAGTAGTTTATTGAAAATATTGGTAATATTATTAGAATGACAGAAATACACTTCAATATAAAAATGGAGCAGTATGTAAGAAATTAATATATTTTAAAAAGATAAAGAAAATTGTACATAAATCTTCAATCTCACTCGCGAATCGACATCAATCGATTTTCTCACAATCCGAACTTTATTCACTGAACTAGAACTGAACTAGAACTGAACTAGAACTGAACTAGAACTGAACTAGAACTGAACTAGAACTAGAACTGAACTAGAACTGAACTAGAACTGAACTAGAACTGAACTAGAACTGAACTAGAACTGAACTAGAACTGAACTAGAACTGAACTAGAACTGAACTAGAACTGAACTAGAACTGAACTAGAACTGAACTAGAACTGAACTAGAACTGAACTAGAACTGAACTAGAACTGAACTAGAACTGAACTAGAACTGAACTAGAACTGAACTAGAACTGAACTAGAACTGAACTAGAACTGAACTAGAACTGAACTAGAACTGAACTAGAACTGAACTAGAACTGAACTAGAACTGAACTAGTACTGAACTAGAACTGAACTAGAACTGAACTAGAACTAATATTGAACTAGAACTGAACTAGAACTGAACTAGAACTAATATTGAACTAGAACTGAACTAGAACCAAATAGTTCTTATTTCTTTCTAATATCTACTTAAGCCGAATTTTTAAACAAAATCTTAACATTCGCTTTATCTCTTTTCAGATCCTCTCCCTCCAAAGTACACACTAACAAAATGGCCATGTCTAGAATAGCATACGAAGTTTCCAAACTGCAACACATCTTAAGCGTTATGCTGGTGTTCATTAGCAGTTCTCTGATGACCTCCAATACCTTCGCTCTAACCTCTTCAAATACCTGTGGGCCAAATTTTCCAGCGGCTTGCAATTGTGGACGTGAAATGTACGAGGGCTCCTATCAATATGTTGTCAATTGTACCAATGCGGGCCTAAAGAATACCAGTGTTTTGGAATTTATGCCACAAGATGTGGAAATATTAATATTTACGGGTAATTTTATACCCGAATTACCCTGGAATGTCTTTGGTTCAATAAACAACTATAAGAATTTGAAAATCGTAGACATGAGCAATAATCATATACGAGAAATTAGAGGCAAAACATATCATCATGTACAAAATGTGGAAAGACTTATATTGAATCATAACAATTTAAGTATATCCCGAGATGATGATGAGGTTAATCATCACCATCCGAGAGTGTTTTCCAACTTTTTGAATTTACAGAGTTTACACTTAACAGATGCCTTCGATGATAATAGTTCACCACAATTGAGCGAAGATTTACATGACATCTTCATGAACAGTCAATTGACGAAATTGGAAAAATTGCATTTGGAACAAAACGAAATAACACATTTTAAGGATCGCAAGGTGTTTTGTGATTTGCCCAGTTTAAGAGATCTGCATTTGGGTGATAACTATTTGAAGGATATCAATTTTGAAGTGAATTGTTTAAAAAATTTAAGATTTTTAGATTTGGAACGCAATAAGTTTGAATTTGTTAAAACACATGATCTATTGCTACTGAATGAACTGGAGGCAAGACCTGATCGCGAAACCAATTTAATAGTGGACTTTAATTTAAATCCCTTTACCTGTGACTGTAAAATAAGTCCCTTCCGCACTTGGATACACTCAACCAATGTCACCGTACGCAATAAGGAAACCTTAATGTGTTTCCACAACAAAGTAGATCCTTTGCCTATTTTGGAGTTGGATATGAATGAATGTTCGGCTGCTATAGCAGCCGCTACCATAATGTTTACCACTGCTAATGACAATCATTATGGTGCCATGCACCAGGACAGTGGTTTGGCTAGACACACTGCCACTCTGATATTTTTATTGATTGTACTGAGTATGATATTGTTGGGTCTGGTTATAGCTTTGATTTATGTAAGTCGTGATAAATTGAAGTTTATGATTACACCTGTGTTCGATAATGTGGCCAAAAAGGTTCAATATACCACCATTAAAGATGAAGATTGTCCAGAGGTTCATGTCTAAGTAAGAAGAAGAGCAGAAGCATAAACATGTAACTTGACTTGTAGATCCCTCCTAGAATCCGTTCTACTCCCCCCCAAAAAACCAACTTAACTACTATAATAACTAACTAATCCTGCTGCAGTAAAGAAAAAAATGTATAATATTTAAAACAGAAAAGTTAAGGATATAAAATATATTTAAAATTATTTTATTTTTACTAACTTAAGATGTCATTAAACTTTAACTATAATTTTTTGTAATTATTTATTAATTTTTTTATTAAATTCTTTAAAATTGTTAAAATTGTGCCATTAACCATAAAGAAATAATCGTAAAAATAATTTGTTTTCACCAAACAAGGGCTATAGAGAAAAAGTAAGCTTTCAAGTTTCTAAAACTTTAGCGAGATCAGTGAAAAAAGCTGAAGTAAAGACAAAAATCTTTTAAACATTTCAAATAAATCATCACTTCTGCCTCAGAAAAACCTTGTTACGATAAGAAACAAATTAAAACAATTATTTAACTTAATCAGGTATTTTGTTGTCCATTTAAAATACAAATTATACTTAATATTTTCTGTCAATTATTTTATTAAAAAAATAAAAAGTATAACGACCATGTTGCATTTAAATTTCAAAAAAACAAATACATTTTATTAACTAAAAATATAAAAACAAAAGAATTTGTTTAAATTTCAACTTAATTTAAAGAAATATTTTATATTTATAAATAATTATATATTAAATATACTAAATATACGAAATAGTTTATAGTTTTTTTTTCTTAACTTGTTTAATATAATTTCCTTTTTAAATTAGTTTAAATAAAGTTAAGGATATTCGAAGCAAAAACTTTTAAAAGACTAACCATTAAAAATTATTATAAATAAAATTCATTTTTGTATTCCTAAAAATTGTAATCTCTTTTGGAAACTTATTTTAAGAAGTAAAATAAACTAGTTCTAGTTAAGTTCTAGTTCAGTTCTAGTTCAGTTCTAGTTCAGTTCTAGTTCAGTTCTAGTTCAGTTCTAGTTCAGTTCTAGTTCAGTTCTAGTTCAGTTCTAGTTCAGTTCTAGTTCTAGTTCAGTTCTAGTTCAGTTCTAGTTCAGTTCTAGTTCAGTTCTAGTTCAGTTCTAGTTCAGTTCTAGTTCAGTTCTAGTTCAGTTCTAGTTCAGTTCTAGTTCAGTTCTAGTTCAGTTCTAGTTCAGTTCTAGTTCAGTTCTAGTTCAGTTCTAGTTCTAGTTCTAGTTCAGTTCTAGTTCAGTTCTAGTTCAGTTCTAGTTCAGTTCTAGTTCAGTTCTAGTTCAGTTCTAGTTCAGTTCTAGTTCAGTTCTAGTTCAGTTCTAGTTCAGTTCTAGTTCAGTTCTAGTTCAGTTCTAGTTCAGTTCTAGTTCAGTTCTAGTTCAGTTCTAGTTCAGTTCTAGTTCAGTTCTAGTTCAGTTCTAGTTCAGTTCTAGTTCAGTTCTAGTTCAGTTCTAGTTCAGTTCTAGTTCAGTTCTAGTTCAGTTCTAGTTCAGTTCTAGTTCAGTTCTAGTTCAGTTCTAGTTCAGTTCTAGTTCAGTTCTAGTTCAGTTCTAGTTCAGTTCTAGTTCAGTTCTAGTTCAGTTCTAGTTCAGTTCTAGTTCAGTTCTAGTTCAGTTCTAGTTCAGTTCTAGTTCAGTTCTAGTTCAGTTCTAGTTCAGTTCTAGTTCAGTTCTAGTTCAGTTCTAGTTCAGTTCTAGTTCAGTTCTAGTTCAGTTCTAGTTCATTCTAGTTCAGTTCTAGTTCAGTTCTAGTTCAGTTCTAGTTCAGTTCTAGTTCAGTTCTAGTTCAGTTCTAGTTCAGTTCTAGTTCAGTTCTAGTTCAGTTCTAGTTCAGTTCTAGTTCAGTTCTAGTTCAGTTCTAGTTCAGTTCTAGTTCAGTTCTAGTTCAGTTCTAGTTCAGTTCTAGTTCAGTTCTAGTTCAGTTCTAGTTCAGTTCTAGTTTAGTTCTAGTTCAGTTCTAGTTCAGTTCTAGTTCAGTTCTAGTTCAGTTCTAGTTCAGTTCTAGTTCAGTTCTAGTTCAGTTCTAGTTCAGTTCTAGTTCAGTTCTAGTTCAGTTCTAGTTCAGTTCTAGTTCAGTTCTAGTTCAGTTCTAGTTCAGTTCTAGTTCAGTTCTGTTCAGTTCTAGTTCAGTTTCTAGTTCAGTTCTAGTTCAGTTCTAGTTCATTCTAGTTCAGTTCTAGTTCAGTTCTAGTTCAGTTCTAGTTCAGTTCTAGTAGTTCTAGTCAGTTCTAGTTCAGTTCTAGTTCAGTTCTAGTTCGTTCTAGTTCAGTTCTAGTTCAGTTCTAGTTCAGTTCTAGTTCAGTTTCTAGTTCAGTTCTAGTTCAGTCTAGTTCAGTCTAGTTCAGTTCTAGTTCAGTTGTTCAGTTCTAGTTCAGTTCTAGTTCAGTTTCTAGTTCAGTTCTAGTTCAGTTCTAGTTCAGTTCTAGTTCAGTTCTAGTTCAGTTCTAGTTCAGTTCTAGTTCAGTTCTAGTTCAGTTCTAGTTCAGTTCTAGTTCAGTTCTAGTTCAGTTCTAGTTCAGTTCTAGTTCAGTTTCTAGTTCAGTTCTAGTTCAGTTCTAGTTCAGTTCTAGTTCAGTTCTAGTTCAGTTCTAGTTCAGTTCTAGTTCAGTTCTAGTTCAGTTCTAGTTCAGTTCTAGTTCAGTTCTAGTTCAGTTCTAGTTCAGTCTAGTTCAGTTCTAGTTCAGTTCTAGTTCAGTTCTAGTTCAGTTCTAGTTCAGTTCTAGTTCAGTTCTAGTTCAGTTCTAGTTCAGTTCTAGTTCAGTTCTAGTTCAGTTCTAGTTCAGTTCTAGTTCAGTTCTAGTTCAGTTCTAGTTCAGTTCTAGTTCAGTTCTAGTTCAGTTCTAGTTCAGTTCTAGTTCAGTTCTAGTTCAGTTCTAGTTCAGTTCTAGTTCAGTTCTAGTTCAGTTCTAGTTCAGTTCTAGTTCAGTTCTAGTTCAGTTCTAGTTCAGTTCTAGTTCAGTTCTAGTTCAGTTCTAGTTCAGTTCTAGTTCAGTTCTAGTTCAGTTCTAGTTCAGTTCTAGTTCAGTTCTAGTTCAGTTCTAGTTCAGTTCTAGTTCAGTTCTAGTTCAGTTCTAGTTCAGTTCTAGTTCAGTTCTAGTTCAGTTCTAGTTCAGTTCTAGTTCAGTTCTAGTTCAGTTCTAGTTCAGTTCTAGTTCAGTTCTAGTTCAGTTCTAGTTCAGTTCTAGTTCAGTTCTAGTTCAGTTCTAGTTCAGTTCTAGTTCAGTTCTAGTTCAGTTCTAGTTCAGTTCTAGTTCAGTTCTAGTTCAGTTCTAGTTCAGTTCTAGTTCAGTTCTAGTTCAGTTCTAGTTCAGTTCTAGTTCAGTTCTAGTTCTGTTCTAGTTCTGTTCTAGTTCTGTTCTAGTTCTGTTCTAGTTCTAGTTCTGTTCTAGTTCTGTTCTAGTTCTAGTTCTGTTCTAGTTCTGTTCTAGTTCTGTTCTAGTTCTGTTCTAGTTCTGTTCTAGTTCTGTTCTAGTTCTGTTCTAGTTCTGTTCTAGTTCTGTTCTAGTTCTGTTCTAGTTCTGTTCTAGTTCTGTTCTAGTTCTGTTCTAGTTCTGTTCTAGTTCTGTTCTAGTTCTGTTCTAGTTCTGTTCTAGTTCTGTTCTAGTTCTGTTCTAGTTCTGTTCTAGTTCTGTTCTAGTTCTGTTCTAGTTCTGTTCTAGTTCTGTTCTAGTTCTGTTCTAGTTCTGTTCTAGTTCTGTTCTAGTTCTGTTCTAGTTCTGTTCTAGTTCTGTTCTAGTTCTGTTCTAGTTCTGTTCTAGTTCTGTTCTAGTTCTGTTCTAGTTCTGTTCTAGTTCTGTTCTAGTTCTGTTCTAGTTCTGTTCTAGTTCTGTTCTAGTTCTGTTCTAGTTCTGTTCTAGTTCTGTTCTAGTTCTGTTCTAGTTCTGTTCTAGTTCTGTTCTAGTTCTGTTCTAGTTCTGTTCTAGTTCTGTTCTATTTCTGTTCTAGTTCTGTTCTATTTCTGTTCTAGTTCTGTTCTAGTTCAGTTCTAGTTCAGTTCTAGTTCAGTTCTAGTTCAGTTCTAGTTCAGTTCTAGTTCAGTTCTAGTTCAGTTCTAGTTCAGTTCTAGTTCAGTTCTAGTTCAGTTCTAGTTCAGTTCTAGTTCAGTTCTAGTTCAGTTCTAGTTCAGTTCTAGTTCAATTCTAGTTCAGTTCTAGTTCAGTTCTAGTTCAGTTCTAGTTCTGTTCTAGTTCTGTTCTAGTTCTGTTCTAGTTCTGTTCTAGTTCTAGTTCTGTTCTAGTTCTGTTCTAGTTCTAGTTCTGTTCTAGTTCTGTTCTAGTTCTGTTCTAGTTCTGTTCTAGTTCTGTTCTAGTTCTGTTCTAGTTCTGTTCTAGTTCTGTTCTAGTTCTGTTCTAGTTCTGTTCTAGTTCTGTTCTAGTTCTGTTCTAGTTCTGTTCTAGTTCTGTTCTAGTTCTGTTCTAGTTCTGTTCTAGTTCTGTTCTAGTTCTGTTCTAGTTCTGTTCTAGTTCTGTTCTAGTTCTGTTCTAGTTCTGTTCTAGTCTGTTCTATTCAGTTCTATTTCTGTTCTAGTTCTGTTCTAGTTCTGTTCTAGTTCTGTTCTAGTTCTGTTCTAGTTCTGTTCTAGTTCTGTTCTAGTTCTGTTCTAGTTCTGTTCTAGTTCTGTTCTAGTTCTGTTCTAGTTCTGTTCTAGTTCTGTTCTAGTTCTGTTTCTAGTTCTGTTCTATTTCAGTTCTATTTCTGTTCTAGTTCTGTTCTAGTTCTGTTCTAGTTCTGTTCTAGTTCTGTTCTAGTTCTGTTCTAGTTTCTGTTCTAGTTCTGTTCTAGTTCTGTTCTAGTTCTGTTCTAGTTCTGTTCTAGTTCTGTTCTATTTCTGTTCTAGTTCTGTTCTATTTCTGTTCTAGTTCTGTTCTAGTTCTGTTCTAGTTCTGTTCTAGTTTCTGTTCTAGTTCTGTTCTAGTTCTGTTCTATTTCTGTTCTAGTTCTGTTCTATTTCTGTTCTAGTTCTGTTCTAGTTCTGTTCTAGTTCTGTTCTAGTTCTGTTCTAGTTCAGTTCTTTTTCTAGCTTTGCTCCAGATAGGTTCTAGTTGTTTTCTAATTGTGTTGTAGTTGTGTTTCAGATCTGTTCCTTTTTGGGCTCTTAATTTAAATTTCAATTCTACAAGTTTCGAAAAAAATGTCGAAAAAATCAATTTGAAGCGTATATCCATCCCGTTTTTATATAATTTTTACTACTAAAATTGTTTATTTAAAATATAATACGAAAAAAAAACACATCTAGTATAAATATTTGAGAAAAAATAATAAAAAACGAAAATCATATCATTATCTACAAAACAAACAAAAAACGCAAACGTATCTTAACATTTCAAAACAATTAACCTTAGATATATCTGTGATTTAAGTTAGTAGATTGAAGTTTTTTTTTTTCAAATTAATTAATAAATAATTTTCTTTACTAATTATTGAAAAATTAACAATTAAAGCAAAAAGAAAAGAAACAGCATATTATTTACTAACACATGATTACTAATAATTATATTATTTTAAGTTCAATTTTTAAATTTTTCAATTAGTATAACACAAACAAAGCAAAAAAAAACGAAACTGTTGTTAGTGGTAATAATTATTTTGATAAGAAATTAATAAAAATCAATAAAGGAATAAAAACAAAAAGAAAAATGGTTTCTATTT